CCCTTAAGGTCTCCATCCCCGAGGATCCCTGTCTTGAAGGATCCCTAACCCAGTGTATCCTCATCCTCAAGGATCCCTGTCTCGAAAGATCCCTACCTCAAGGTATCCTAATCTTCAAGGATCCCTGCCCTGAAGGATCCCCATTCCAATGTATCCTCAACCCCAAGGATCCCTGTCGTAAAGGATCCCTAATCCAATGGATCCTAATTCCCAAGGCTCCCTGTCCTGAAGTGTCCCTATCCCAGTGTACCCTCATCCCCAAGAATCCCTGCTCCGAGGGATTCCTATCCCAATGTCTCTGCATCTCTGAGGATCCTTGCCCTGAAGGATCCTTATCCCAAAGGATCTCTGTCCTGAAGGATCCCTATCCCAATATATCCTCATCCCCAAGGATGCCTGTCCTGAAGGATCCCTATCCCAAAGAGTTGGGGGGTTTGGATCCTTTCCTGAAGGTTTGGAAAAAAGAATGGAAACCCACTGGGAAGGTGGCAGCAGGGCAACAGCTGTGCACTGAGGCTGCTGCCAGTTTCCAGGAGGAAAGAGAAGAGAGAAATCAGTTTAAAGGATGATGCCAAGAGTCTCCTTCCTTCTCTAAAGGGCACAAAGACAGTGTTTATTTATTCAAGCCTCTGGCACTGAAGCCCAGCTGATGTCGTTTCCCCGTCTGGGATTTCATTTGTGGATAACTCACAGCACTGCTTGGAAATGTGTCCTCTCCTCTGCCAGCTGCCTTGAGCACAGATCCCAGCCATGAAACCTCTCCTGTCACTGTCCCATGCAGCCTGGCACTTCCAGGATGAGCTGAGCAGCACAGTGTGACCCCCTGAACCAGCAACCACTCAGCTCCCGAAATTTTCCCTGTGTCCCATCACCTCCCCTGTCCCAAACTGCTGATGCTGGGTCCAGGGTGGTGGGACAGGGAACTGGGTCAACCCAGGAGTCCTGGGGTTTAAACCTGAAATCCTGATGCAGGATTCCTTCCCTTAAACTGTGTCAAGATGAGAGACCAGCGCCTGGGCCCCCCCCGTCCTGGTAACTGGGACACCTGGGGACAAACTTGCAGAGAGGCTGGGAGATATGGCAGCAACATTAATTATTTGCTGCCTGTAACAAGGCTTTGTTTTTCTGGAGCACATCCCAGTGCGGGGCTTTAAAGAGGCTGGAGACGAGGCCAGTGCACATCCCGTGGCTGTGTCCTCCCCCTGCCTGCATCCCTGCGGGAATACCGGGACTGGGCTGGCGGTGGGATGCAGGGTGGGGTCCCATCCCGGTGTCCCATCCCGGTGGTTGGTGCCTTGGCAGAGGGGCACTGACAGGGGAGGGAGAACAAAGCTCCCACCGGGCTTTTGCATCACCGAGGTTTATTCTGAGCGCTGCTAATTGCAGCCTCCTCTGCTAAATCATTAATAGCTTGTCAGCCCGGGCAGAGATCCTGCAGTGCCACAGGGTTCTGGGGACTCAGTCACTAACTTACTTCAGGGCAGGGGCAGTTCTTTTATTTTCCTACTGTTTGCCTTTTCCAGCTGCTGTCTGCTCACCACTGGGACGTGCTGGGACAGCCTGGGGACATGGTCACCTTCAGCCTCACTGCTTAACAAACCCAGCCCCCCTCTCCCCCCTGCTCCCTGTTTCCATGTCCTTTTCTCACCCCGGAGCAGGGCCTGGAGCTGGGAAGGTGACAAGCAGCGCAGGCGTGGGAGGTGATCCAAAAAAAGCAATTATTTTCTGAGCAGGTGACGACAAAACAGGCACCTCCTGAGATCACTCCAACCTCTGCAATTGAGAGGTTTCACTTTTGGGGAATGGGGGGAGCTCAGAGCACGGCAGATCCCAGCCCTTTTTCCCTTCAGGAGGTACCCTTGGGGATCTAAGTGCCAAGGAAGCAGAGAAAAAACGAGAGAGGAGGATGTTCTGTTAAATTCCTGCCTGTCCCCGCAGATTTTTGGGCACAGGGAGCAAGGGCAGAGCTTTGACCCCACGATGGAGCAGCCCCCCTCAAACCCCACACCCCGTTTTAGAGCAGCATTTGAATCAGATACACGAAGACTTCAGCTTTCCCACAGCCTGGAATGCAGCCTGCAGGGCCTGAGGAAGTGCCGTGGCCGTGTCTCCGACCCCGGGCGGTGGGGGTGCGGTGTCTGCCGGGGACGAGCCGGCAGCGGGGGCTGGAGCAGTGACGCAGCGGCCGCTGACGCCGCTCCGGTGCCTGGCAGACGTGTGGCAGCCTGGCAGGAGCAGGAATGTGATGCAAAGCACAAGAGATGGGGTTCTATTTTTCCTCCTAAGGTAAGGGAAGCAAAAATGTCACCAGCTTCGTGGGCGACATCCACTGCAGGCTTGGATGTGGCTCTGCTCGGAGCAGATTTAGGCTGGGTTTTTGTTTTTAGCTTAGGCTTTTGCTCCGGTTTGGGGGCGGGATGAGAGCTCGGCACCTGGTTTCTGTCATCCCTTTTATCCTCTCTGCTGCTGCGATGTGAAACACGAGCAGGTTTTACCCCACGCACCCACATGAAGATGCAGCTACTGAGGATGGCATTCCGGCAGGAGGAACCCCAAAAACCAGGCCCTGTGGGGGAGCGAGGTGGCAGCGGCACCTCCCTCTCCAGCCTCCTCCCCGTGCCATCCCACCCCCAGGTCTATTAACACCGTACAAATGATGATGACGTTGGCAGCGATGTTGCCGTGACAGCCCTGCGACCACGGACACGCGGTCCTGGTGTCACATTCCCTGCACCCCAGGATGGGACACCCCAGCCACAGCCCCGGTGGGTGTTGGGGGGAAAGGGGCTGCCCCCTGCTCTTCTCCTTGCCCCAGGCAGAGGCACCGGCATCGCTCAAACAGCACCAAGACCTTCTCAACTGCTTCTCTCAGGAGCTGCAGACTCAAACCAGCCGTTCCAGTAACCCCTCACAGTCCAGCCTCCCCCACTAACCCATCCCGGTAAATCTCCCCAGGAAACCTTTTCCGGTCCAGCCTTTCCCAGTGACCCCTCAGTAACCGTCCCAGCGTTTCCCAGTGATACCAGCCCTCCCCAGCTCCCTGTTACCCACTGGCGTCCCCCGAGGGCACCACAAACTGGTAACGCCACCGGGACAGTGCCCTACCGGGCCATACCGATCCCGGTGTCCTGTCAGTGCTGGCACCGAGCCTGTATCGATGCCGTACTGGGCCATACCGAGCCCGGGGCCGGTGTTGGACAGAGGCCGGTGCCGGTACCGGGTCTGTACAGGGCCATACCGAGCCGTGCCCAGCCCGGTGTCGTACCAAGGCTGAGGCCGTGCCAGTGTCGATACTGGTAATGTGCCCCACCGGGCTATGCCGAATCCCGGGCCAGTGC